ATCCTCAACATTGAAAAATGCCCCGGCACGAAGTGGTTAAATGCTCAAAGTGGCAAGCACCACCATCCAAATGAAATGAAATGACCTTCGGCCTGGCTGGGTTTACTGGACTAATGAAGGAATGCTGGAGATCAAAAATGCATGCATGGACACTAAAACTTGATAGGGCTCAACAGCAGGGGCCAATTTCATAGCACTGCTTAACCACTTGCTGCCAGGGGACCCATTTTCGAGCACATAGGCTTTATACACGTAGCCGGGAAGCCAGAAACCAGGCCAAAAGAGCTGGGCCTTGGAACAAGAGACCATGTTCTGCACAAAAGACTGAGCTGTGGGGCATTACCTACTTTTTTTCACTCTTGATAGTGGAGATAATCCAACTCTACCACCGCAGCGATGCGCCACACAGCACCGCTGCAGGCTAATCTGGCCCATATTGAAAAGAGGTCAGCAGCACATTAAAAAAATTCCATTTTGGGAACTCAGCACTAAGCACTTGTCTGTTAATGTTAATAAATCCAGCCAAGTGAGAAAAAAAATTAAAAGTGTACAATCAAAACTTCAAAGAAAAGGAAATGTTTAATTTATCAAAATCTCAATTGCCAACTTGAAACCCTACTGAATCGCACTGGATATTATCTTCGTTTGTGCATTGGCATGTGTGGCTATCATGCAATACCGATGATACAACCACAGTTATTGGAACAGCTAATAACCGACAGAAAAAAGTAACTGAATACAGTAAAATCTCAATACCTCGAATCTCTGGGGAATGGACAAAAAATTTGACTTATCCAAAATTGGAGTTAAAAGAAGGTCCCAATTTCTTTTGAAGTTTCAGTCATTATTACGATGTACCTATACGCCAACACACAGTTACCGTAAATCTCCCTATGACGACTTCTGAAATGACATTGTGGACATTTTATACGTTGGTGTCACAAGTTTTTGTTCACAGAAAGACATTTTTGCAGAGGATTTTTGTTGTCAGTCGGTTGATAAATGACACATTACATGTACTGTAAATCATTTAAAATGTGTACCTTTGTGTGGCAAATCTTTCTTTTGTGCACGTGTGATGCATTGTGGTGGTCTCATTTCTAATACCGCACTGCAACGCAGCGCTTTGCACATGCGTACAGGCAGGGTTTCCCAATGAGTCAAACGACTTTTTTCATGACAAGGGCGCACCCTTTTCACTTCAATAAAATTTCGTAAAAACAAAAATGTTATTGGTGTCTGTTTTTATTTTTTGTTCTTCGTTCTTTATTTTCAAACTTTTGTTTATTTTTTGGGAGTGAGATTTGGCTACGCAAAAGCTCTGCACTGCAGTCACGTGGTTGGTCCATTGCGCATGAGCATGCTGTGGTTTGTGGCTCTAATTGGGCAGCCATCACACGGGCGAGCACAAGCAGTTGGGCCAGACCATTAGGCCAGACTTAACTTCCGTACATGTGGTGAGTGGGCATACACAAAGATCTCCAATGCATTGCCGCAGTCACCGCAAAGACCTATCAGTTGGCCTGCTGATGCACTGGCTCCAATGGGCCCACGGTAACAATTGGGCCAATTTCCTGCAAGTCTGATTTTGCGGTCACGGTGTGGCATGGTTCAGATTGATCATCATTGTAGCGCGCTTGCAAGTGTTCTGGTGTGAAAAGAAGAAGTGTACGTGTCAGAAATGATTCATAACTTCGACCCGCATTCTGTTTACACTTTCTGGAAGTATTTTGGTGGTGGTTTCTTTTGGATCTGCTACACAAAAACTTCGAGGTAAACAAATCCAGCAACGTGAGCAGTTTGAGTTACGGATATGTTTTTGTACATAAAAGCCTATTATTTCGGCAAGAATTAATTATTCTTCAAGTTAAGTGGAGTTTCGGGTTAACCCACTTTGAGTTATCGAGATTTTACTGTAGTTGTTTTCTAGGAACAAGGTTCAATTCCATAACAAGAAGTATATTAAAGACAGTGCTACCTTTTCTAAATCTGCCTCTGACATCTGAAGGAGGACAGAGAACTTGACTGCATGCTGACGGAAACAAGGACTGAGGTGTCCAAGGTCTAAACCACAAAGAAACAAATCAAGGTCATCACAGGCTTCTCCAGATGCACTGCTGGTCAGATTTATAGACAAAGAGGTTGTCGGTTGCATTGACACAGACCTGTAAACAGATTGGACATAATGTTAGACTATGACTTCATGTCAAAGGCAGTGACTATACATAAGAGAGCTATGTACAAATTGAGCTTTTCATGGTAGGGTTTTGCTGCAATTTCAAATTTCATACAATTAATGTTGTGGTTAAGCCGTGTATTGACTTCAAAGCAAGACCTTTGCATGTGACACCTGAATACTGTACATCAGTTTTCAAAATGTTAAGGATCTAATGCCTCCAAAAATCAACCTGGACTCAAAGCTGTCCCCAATACACATGTACATGTACATGCAGCATGTAATTTTCAACCAGTGATTGGTAATAACTTCTTTCAGAGGCTCCTGTTCATGTTGGTATCAATAATTTAAGGAAAAAAAAATCAGTAAACATTTTGCAATATGTAACGGTAAAATGTTTATCACTGCAGTAGGTACATGTGATAGGATTCTGAACAGGTATAATATATAGCTATCATAAGCCCCACCCACCGCGCACATGAGCATTTAGCATGTGCTCTTCTCCAATGCCACACGACGTGTTCCAGTCAAGTGTATCATATGCGTGTGTATTATATGCGCGTGCATGCATGTCAGATATAAATCATGGCTGTGATTGATCAGAAAACAATGGGGCAGGGATTTATGGATTGATCTATTGCTCCAGGGCTGACAAAACTCTCATGTGAAAAGAATGCCTAAATTTGTGTAGTGCAATCGCACATTTGCATGACAATCACATACCAAAATTCAAACAGTAGATGTTAAATAAAACGTTTGATTAAAGATCCAAGATAATTTCAAGATAAGCTCTCCTTGCAGAGTATTATACAAACAGATGAATAAAAAGTCTTTTAGATTTCTTCAAGTCCATTTTGTCTCAGACATCATTTTTTTTTAATGTCGTTCAGAATGACCAATTTTCTTTCAAGAAGCCTTGGTCCGAAGAGCAAAATCGCTGAACGTCGCCATTCCGTGGAGGGACTCATAAATACCGAATGAAAAAGAGAGCGCACTATCTGGGTTGATGTCAAAGGTCGAACAGGCCGCGATGCAGCGAACGTTTCTCTAACGGCACCGCAAGAGAATGACGGAAGACAGAAAATTACCACTATCGGTATTTTGGACTGCAGTTTTCGGCAACGTACTTGAAGAAATGTGATCGGTCCTGTGGTAAAAGGATGATGGTTTGGCGGTGCTTTTTTTGAATTTTTTTCCAAAGCTTGTGTTGTACATCAATTTGGATTTTACTCGCTGTTTTTTGCAGTCAATTTTTTTGACACTAATAACAGAATCGAATGACATTCGTTACTGCCGACTTTGGGACCCAATTAATTGTGAGAGGTACTTTTAATTTTGTGATTATGGTTTTAATATGTATAAATATGATCACCTTTCACCACATATAAATCTGTGTAAAATATCCGTGGGGATTATCACTCCTTGGTAAATTTTATTGGCTAGGATTTCAATACGTTGTTCACGTCTGTCAAAAATGCTGATATTCAAGACTTTAATAAATTAACTCCAATTAAGTTGAAAGACGGAAACGGTCATCACTGTTCCAGATATCAGCCATGACTTCCCTCATTACATCAGAAATTGGGAATTAATTCACTGCTGTTCAGGAAAAATGAATCCCCAAAGTTGAACATTATCTAATGGTCCATATTTTGAGGAACCTGCCATTTACTGGTTGCACTGAATGAAATCAGTGGTGCATTTCCATGGTATTCCACTGCCTGCTAAACTCTATGGTATGTCAGTGGTAGTTTTCCAAAACACCGCTGCAACAGTTACTGTTGGTACAGTCAATGGGCAGTTCATAGGTATTTTTAAGGGTACTTTTCAGTGGTACATCACTGATTTTTCTTTTGTAAGGGTGGTACAAGTTTCAGACACTGACGCTGCATGTAACAAAATTGTTTATTTGCTCATGAGCCATACTGAACAAAGAACATGAAATAGGCTGTTTCACAGGCTTAACACACAAAGGTAGCTGTATTTTGTGCTTTTCCATTAATAAACACTTCCTAATGGTCAGCTCCTAGTAACTGTTCACAAGGGATGCAGATAATCTCACCTAGATGGTGATAAAAAGGAATGTTGTTCTGGATGAGGAGTTTCATCATTTGTCCTGCCAGATGACATACTTCTCTCTATAAGTTCTGTAAGCTGAAAATAGAAGTTGTTAAAGTGGTTTATGTGTTGGCAATATTCCAAAAATATCCCCGACCCAACCACCTCCCCATCCACTGACAAAATCCTTATCCTTATCTCATAGTAACAAATTCCCACCTAATCCTACCAACATGTAATTCTCATCCAGTTCCACCAAAGCCCCATTCTATCCTGCAAAACCCCATCCATACCATCAAACCCCACCCCATCCCACCAACTCCCCACCAAAGGGTTGGCTTGGCCTGCATGGGAACAGATGCCAATCTAATTTTAGAGGAGAAGACCTACATGTGAGCATTACATACATGTACAGGTGCAGTGTAAATATGTATACATATGCATGTACATTTTGTACAAGTGCATGAAATTCCCAGCCAGCCACTCATCCACCCAGCCAGCCAGCCAGTCACCCAACCAGCCGGCCAGCCGCCCCACCAGCCAGCACCCAGCCACCCCGCCATCCACCCATCCAACCAGCCAGCTACATGTACTCACCCAGCCACCCCGCCAGCCACCCACCGAAAAAGCCAGCCATCCAGCCACCCACCCATCCAATACATCTGCATTCCACACTAACATATCTCTTACCCCCCCCAACAAAGTTCAACCATATTCAACATCATAAAGCTACAAACCAATATACATGTCTCTCTTGTCCATTCTATTTCACTAAAATCCAAATACCATGAAATCTTACCCAGCCCTGCCATGTCCCCATCCCCTACTTTCTACCCCTCTTCCTAAACCACTAAATCCCTACCACAGGGGGGTGGGAATGGAAAAAGATAGGCATGAGTGCTGCAGTACATGTACATGTACACCCGAGCCAATGTAATGCGACTAAAAAGTTTTAAACATCTGTTCAATGTTTTTTCTATTGTGTAAATAAATTTCAAGGCAATAATCCTACAAAATGTTCTGATATTGGAAAAGTAAGATTAAAGCGACTACATGTAATAATGACACACTTTATTTACCTAACTACATTTATCAACAAGCAAAAACTTATTTTGCTCTTAACATTTGCTAGAAACTAGGCAAAGGCACATGCCATTTTCCATTCTCACAATATAAACCCATAAATTACCACTCATTGGCTGCAGGAAATTGGCATTTCGTTCAACCAAAAAAGGCGCCTTTTCATATGTACGTTTTTTGGCTACACAGCATATACGTTTTACTTTCACGGACACTTATACAACTCCATTAACATAACACACGTGTGTGTTATGTTACACGGCTGTCAAAATTGCCCTGGGAGCGATTTTGGCAGATATGCAACGCCTGGTGCAAGTATTGATGAGTATATGAAAAGGCATCTTAAATCTCAATTTTTACGGAGTGTCTAGCTGCTTCCCAGCGCGAAGGGATTAAATATGGCAGTTGGGTCAATTAGTTTTGGAAGAACTTTTCTACACAATGAAATAACATATATCCTACACTCTCTTATCCTACACTATAAAAGCTTAGCGGTGGTGGCAAACCAAAAGAAGAGGCAAACAGGTCTTCTGTGTAAATTCCTTTCTCCAGAGCCAATTGTACTTAAGTTCACAGCTGTTGTAAAAACTGCATATACAATTCTGACAATTCAGTTTGTCAATGACTAAAACTGCTTATGACATTTTTTATATCATTTTTAATCTACAGATTTGTAATATGTCCGGATGTATCAAAGTTGACATCAACGATATCGATTTGAAAAAAATATTGATATATCTACAAACCCTAGCAGAACCAGTAAAAATATGAACACTGGAAAATATTTGAGCACTAATCTCATTTTTCCACGTGCTAAAGCAATGATAATGATAATGGCAATGGAGCTGATGCTGGAAAAAAAGTTAGCTCAGAATGAGAAAGGTGTTGAACTGTTTCATATTTCAATATTCCCTAGTCTGATCTGAACCAAACTTTGTATGCATTCATTTTAGACCCTAATCTATCATCTCTCAAAATTTGGACTGTAAAATTCGGCCTCCTTCTGGTAGTTTGAAAATAGGGAGACACTGAAATGTCTCCCTAAAAGACAATGTCTCCCTAATGCTGAAAAATTTACCGCAAAATGTCTCCCAAATGACCTATTTTTAAATATAAGGAAATATACAACTATGCACATGGAAAACTTATTAAAGAATGAAGTGAATACTGACTAAAATCCAAATTGTTCCATCTACCTCAATATAGCCATGACTACAGGCTATATCCCGTGCTGTTCCCTCAGAACATCTTTTCTTGGCATCAGCTTTAGCATTCAACAGACATTCTGCAACACTGGTGTATCCTTGGTTGGCAGCATAACAAAGAGCCTGAAAACACATAAACATTGTAGCATAAATTGAAGTAAGATGCAAACAAATGTGGGGCAAAATTGATGTTCAAATAACTTTTCCCCCACATTAGAGTTGTTTTTATTGCAACCCTTAATGTAATCCCAGTAATTTCTTCTTCTGATTCTGCAAATTTTACCACATCTTTAATAATAATAATAAGACTTATAATGTGAGGAAGGCCAACTCCAGAAAACAAGTTACCATGAGTTAATGTGAGGAGAACAGATGAGCTTTCAGTCTCCCTTAAATTTGTCAAATGAACTGATGTTGCGGATGCTGCGTGGTAAGGAGTTCCAGCATCGGGGACCAGACACTGAAAAGGCCCTGTCCCTTGCCTTTATGAATGTGGGTGAAACTCTCATATTGTTACAGGAGCGAAGGCCACTACGGCTAGGTGCATTGAGGTTGAGCGACCTCATTATGTACTGTGGCATAGTACTATGAAGTGCTTTGTGCATGAATCCTGCTGTTTTGAAGTTGATGCGTTGTCTGACTGGTAACCAGTGTAATTGTTGAAGGAGTGGAGAGGCATTTGTGTATTTTGGTTGGGTTAACGTACATGTAATACAAGCGGCATTGTTTTGAAGCCGTTGGAGAAACAGGAATTTCACAAGTGCTAATTCAGGAATAACGTATGTCACACTGTCTTTCCCCTAAGGGGCCATCCATAATTCTCATCACTTTTATATTAAGTGTACAAAAGGCAGACTTTTCACTACCCCCCCCAAAGCGTACATCAGCAGGCAAAAAAATTTCGGGCATGATGCCACGTTCTGAACGGGGCCCGTTCAAACGTAGGAGTACAAGGGGATTAACAACAATGGACCTGTTCCTCCCGTGCACTCACGTCAGATCAGGAAAAATGCTTTTGATCTCTGCCCTGAGAAAAATGCAAATGAAAAGTGCCCGAAAACTGGAAGCACTCTCCAAGAGAACACCCAGATTCTCCCAGACAGGTCCAACAAATTAAAGACGACAAAATTACAATCAAAATTAACAATCACCTAGAGCCTAGAAATTAATAATATGCTTTCTTAAAAAGATATGTTTTTAACATTGATTTAAAAGTAATGACACTGATAGCACTTCTAATATTCCATAGAAGCTTATTCCAGAGATGTGGCGCACAATACTCAAATGCTCGATCTCCGATCTCTCTTAGAGGACATCATCACTGGAACTACGAAGATGGTAACGGTTCTGACGCCTTACGGAGACAAGCTGAGGAGCTAAATCATGTAAGACTTTGTATGTCATCAACAAAATTTTAAATTCAATTCTATATAAAACCGGATGCCAATGTAAATCAATAAGAAGAGGAGTAATTCGACAAAATTTTGGTGTCTTGTAGACGAGTCGTGCACAAGCATTCTGTACCCTCTGGAGCTGATTAATATGAGTACTGGGTAAGCCATAAAACAAACTATTACAGTAATCCAATCTACTTGAGACAAATGCATGAATCGGTGTCTCAGTACATTCCTTGGAGAGATATTTCCGAATGTGCCTAATATTATGCAGATAATAGAATGCGCTACCACAAACGTTAGTAATATGAGTTTTCATAGACATATTAGCATCAAACCAAGTGCATAAGTTATGAGCTGTAGCCAAGGGTGAAATGACAGATTCCCCAACATGAATACCATCCAAAGTTACCTTGGATATTTGTTGACGAGTGCCAATAATGATAAATTCCGTTTTATTGTCATTAAAAAACAATCCATTATTAAACATCCATTGTCTGACATCATGTATGCAAGCCTCCATAGCTGACAGGGCAAATTCCTGACTACCAGTTTCATCTGGACAAAATGATAAATACAACTGAGTATTGTCAGCATAGCAATGGATTCTTGGGTGTTGAGCATCGACGATGTCAAACAACTGACTAGTGTACAAGATAAACAATAAAGGACCTAAACATGACCCTTGAGGAAAACCCCATTCAAGATTACGTTGACTAGATACTTTACCGTTGACCAAAACCCTTTGAGATCTACCACTCAAATGTGAGTTAAACCAGTTGAGGGTAGTGCCAATAATTCAAAAACGTGACTGAAGTAAACTCAAAAGAACATCATGATCTAATGTGTCGAAAGCTGCACTCAAATCTAATAACACCAGAAGTGTAACATGTTTCCTGTTCATGGCAATCAACAAATCATTTTGAACTTTCAATAAAGCAGTTTCAGTACTGTGAAATTTACGATAAGAGGACTGCATAACTGGATATAGATTATTCCGTGTCAGATGAGACTGCAGTTGATTAGCAACGGCCCTTTCCAGCAGCTTCGAAATAAACTGTAAATTACACACAGGTCGAAAATTCTCTACTTTGCCCTCAAGTCCAGGTTTTTTAGTACAAGGGAGAACAACAGCCAATTTCCAAGCCGCTGGAAATTCCCCGCTCTTTAGTGAAAGATTAATCAATTTAATAACAATTGACAAACAGATTAGTAGGAATCGGGTCAAGAATGCACGTTTTTTACTGGAGCCAGTCACCAGTTTACGAACACAATTTTGAGATAATTGACTAAAACCAGTAAAAGTGGGTGGCTCTGGGTGTGAAACAAACATATTATAAGTTCTTTACAGAAGAGAGGAATGCCTATAGAATGTGGGTCCAGTACAGTCAGACTAGACCTGGATGATTATATAAGCAGTGCATTTGTGAGTTTGATGGATGGTGCATAATTCAAATTCCTCTAAAGTACAGTTCTGCACTTTGTATCCAACCCAATTATCCTAACCTCGACAATTCTACCCCTATCATCCATATCCCATCATCCTATATCTACCATGTCTACTTTGTTTCCACCCCTAATCCCATCTATCTCCAATCCCATATCCACCTTACCTTTCCATATATCCTACTCCACCCCTCATCATCCTATCCATCTCCTACTCCGTCCCCTCCTCATCATCCTATCCGTCTCCTATGTCGCCCCCTCCCCATCATTCCCTTCACTTCTTACACTGGCTGTCCCATCATCCCACTAATCCAGCCCAACCATTACACCAACCTTATCCAGCATTTCATCCACTTTCTACATACCTGTACCTTGTCCCCATGATCCTCCTCGTACAGGTACCCATCCCTGAAGAAACATCCTAATCTGTCACTTAGAGTCCCCCCCTTACATTTTCCCCACATGTTGTACGTGTACATTTGTATGTGTCTAAACACTGTCAATACATACATACATACATGTACATCACCGAAGTGCTCAGTACACAGGTACATATGTACTACAGGGTAAGTACACAATACAACTCAAAACGTTTACATTCAACTTTTATAATTTTTTTATCAAATTCATAAGTTTCTAAGCATTAATGCCATATGAGACTATTTAAATATTGATGGAATTCCAAGAGGAAGCAAACAAACACTCAATGGCACATTTTAACACTTATGGACCTGCAAGGAAAAACTTTAACATTTGAAGACGGCCGGACAGATGGACAGAAATCGGTATTACATACCGGTAGGCTCCCACTTGCTTCACAGCAAAAACAAAAATAAAACAGATTTTCAGAAAAACAAAACTTATTTCAGCCTGTGCCCAAAACAGCTAAAAGATCTTAAGAAAAACAATTGCTGTTTTGACTGGTGCCTGAAACAACTAGACATCTAGGCAAACAAATGCCTTTTTCGCAAATTGCAAAAAAGCCAATAAAAAAAAAAGAACATAAAGAATGCATTTTTTTGCAAAATTGCCAAAAAGCTTAAATAAAAAAGGAGACAGAACAGAAACAATGCCTTTTTCACAAAATTGAAAAAAAAAACCCACCTTAATAAACAGAAGTAAAAGAATTATCCCCCACCTAGAGTGGATTGAGTCTACTACAGCATACCTACCAGATTACCAATACATATGCATTATTTCCTAGTCCATTACTTCCATTCGCTTAATTCTTGATCACCAGCAGCGCGCCCTCACTTGCTCGACTCCTGCGAAAGTGGCCGCCATGTTCTTCTTCTTTTTCGATGCACAAAGTGCGCCGAGGCCGCGAGGGGAGGCGGGAGGGAGATTGGTAATCTGGTAGGTATGCAGTAGTAGACTCGACCCACTCTAGGCGGGGGAGAGTCTACTGCCTGCAACCTACATGTACACAGATTACCAATACATATGCAGAGTAGCACCAAACCAGAGGACGGGGTAAGGCGAGAGTGCACAGACAACCCTGAACCCCAGGAGGAGTCACGTACACCCTGCAATGAACAAAAGTGAGAAATTAGTAAAGGACTGCAAGAAGTAAGCACAAAGAACACCTCGCCATGTAAATGTCTTGAGTGCATCCACTTGCGGGGGAGGGACGGCCGTAACTGGAGCTACTGAGATCCCCTCCTCAGCACGGCCAGTCCGTGAGAATGATTCCCCTGCAAAACATCACTGAGATAACAAGAGGTAAATGTTGAAGGGGATTCCCAATAAGCGACTTTACAAATGTCTGAAATCAGGATGCCTTTGAACTACCCACCTGGCAATAGTGTCTCTGGAGGCTGCAAGGTGAGGCTTAGTAGCTGTAATGAGTAACTGAGTTAATTGCCCTCGGATGTCCTTAGTCCGTTGGAGATACCATTTGAGTGCCCGGACAGGACACCAGAGTTTGTCAGAGGTAGATGAGGCTAACGACCGGATGGACGGAACAAAGATGTCCAGTGGTTGAAATGAGGGTGTTTGGTTCTTGGTAAGAAAGCCAATCTCTGGAATTAGACAAACACCGAGAGGCTCCCCTCGAATATGACCATCAGCAATGAACAGTGCTTTAATTTCGCAGCCTCGATGAGCAGTAATGGCCGCTAAAAGGAAGGCCAGCTTCATACCCAAATGAAGAAGGGTAGCTTGTCCCGCCTGTTCGAAAGGGGGGCTAGCCGAAAGTCAAACGACATCCCCCAGATTCCATGAAGGAACAAGTCGTCGGATTGGGGGACATTCAATAAACATGCCTAGAAGAAGAAGATAGAT